ATGGTATCAAATTATTATCTAAGAGGGACATAAAATAAATTATAATCTGTGATGGACATAATAAATCATCGAGAGAAATGAGCTTAAACCCATAAGGGAGTCAATTCCGGGAGTAACCCAATCTTTGTGATTAAATATTTCATGAAAAAGGTTCAATATGATAGAAACAACCTATAATGCGATAGTGCTAGTATTAATGTGATGGTAGAAATGGTTTGACCCTGGATGCTTACCGAGACAACAATTTTAGCGAAGTGTGAGTCACATGCACTCTTGAGGACTCACTTATATAAGTGTTGTCATGAGGCCGTGGCTATGAAATTGAGTTATTCACTAGATATTCTTACTAAAATCAAGATTAGTGCTTGTGGCCATTAAAAGCACTATCCATTATGAATTGAGTCGAAATCGGTGAGAAATTCGATTAGTGCTTGTGGAGTAACTTTTCATTATTGTGGGGGTGATTTCTTCCCTATAAAAGTGATTGCTTTTCACAACTTGAAAGAATATTCTTTGTACATTTTTTACTATTTTCACAAATTGATGAGAAATTCGTTCTTTTATCGATCTCCTTATGGTGTGTTCATAGAAGGAGAATCGATGGTGAGCCACATGGATTTTATTTTTGAGTTGTGTAGTGTCGAAAGTGTTCACACAAAGAGGAGGTAACACGACTTTATGATAGCGTCCTTGATGTGACTCTTTAAAACTTGCATTTTAACTCCTCTTCTTATGTTTATATCATTATTGAATTTTATTTAGAGCGTGTTTGATACCCATTATTTGTAAATAATGTATTTTTGAATAGTGATTTAATGGAGAATGTGTGATTAAAAAATAAGGAAAATTTTTGAATTTATATGTAATATTATTTTATTAAAAATGTGTGGTTAAAAAGAAACGAGAGAAAAATGTATTTTGAAAAAAATGGGAATCAAACAAGGCTTTATTAATTTTATATTTATTATGATATATATATATATATATATATATATATATATATATATATAAATAACATATTTTTTCAACAAAAAAC